ACTCTTGAAGATGGCTTCTCTAAGGCACGCAGCCCCTCCTGAAATTCAAGGACATGACCCAAAGACAAAGCTGCAGGGAATGCCTCTTGACTCTTTCCCAGCACTAAAAACATGGCTGGAAAAAGGGATCTGAACACGGGGCACTCGTGGTACACCCGGCACATTGTTCAGCCACGTGGGCGGAGTGACCCCTGTGCACCTGCCTGCTCCTGCTGCCAACGCCTGCAGGACCCAAACGGACGAGGACCTTCCTTCCCACACTCCTTCCAAACTTGCCAGGGAAACACCACCGTCCAAGGTGAGAACACGAGCTCAGAAAGTGGAATGACTCAGCTGAGGTCACAGGACAAACAGGAAGGCCTGGGGAGAGGAGTGTGCTCTGCCCCGCCCCCCCCCCCCCCGCCGGTCTCAGCAGGTGGGCACCTGGCATCAGCTGCGACTGTGAGCAGACCTGGCTATCCCTCTGCCGGGAGGGTGTTTCCTCTTGGGATACAAGAGGAATACAGAGGCAGTGGACTTGGACCTGGCCGACCCAAGGGGAGCTCCTAGCTGAACCAATTACTGCCACCCCCTGGAGTTTGGGTTTGTTGATCCTTGCTGGGAGGGTTAAAAGAGCAACACATAGGACCCTACTGCCCACTTCTAGTGACCTTGGGGGGGGGGTGTCTGGCTTACACAGAGGGTAGGAAAGGCTATGCCCTCTGGTGACACCACTGGGGCTGGGACCTGAGCCATACTGCTTCGCATCCCCAGGCCCTCCCCAGCCCCTCTTTAAGCCCCCATGGGAACACCCATGCTGTTTGCAGCCAGCACTACACAGCCAGCTGCCCTGGGGTCTACCCCAGACACCTGCAAGCCCACTGCAGAGGAACGGGTGGCTTGTGTGGGTGCAGGGGTGCTGGCGCCATGTGGCTCCATGCAGCAGAGGCAGCCAGGAACTGGGCTGTGACCTGGCAGGTGCTTTGCTTGCACCTGCTGCTCTGCCAGGTGCTCTAGGCAGACCAGCGCCCCACCCCCCTGCATCTAGAGGAGCATCTCTGATTCCATACCCAGCAGGCCTCTACGGAGCAGCTGCCTCCCGTCCCTGTGAAACCCTCAGGGCTGACCCTGGCCTCAGGGCCTGCTGGTCTCAGGGCTGCTTGGCTTGTAAATGGTCGGTCAGCAGTCGGGGGTGAGGTGATCTTGGAAGGTGAAGTGCTTTGCCTCAGATTGCTGCTGGCAAGAGGCCAGGAGGCCAGCAGCAAAAGACTCTTCTTGGAGACGTGCCATGCCCTTAGATGCAGGAATATGCCCAAGCGCAGAGGGGCTGTCCCTCACGGGGTCACTCAGCCCAGTAGCATCAAAGCCAAGAGATCTAAACCCTGCTGGGATTGCCCTCCAGGCCATGGGAGCAGACTGAACTTGAAACTGGTTCACTCCCCTCACCCTTTTGCCCTCCCCACCCCCATCCTCTCTCTGACACTTGACATCACCCATCACTCCCTCCCCCTGGGAACGCCCCCCTCCTCCAGTTTCCACAGCAACGCGGTCTCCCCCACCCTCCTCCTGCTTTTCCTGCAGCTTTTTCCTCCTTCTTCCAGGGTAGTTGCCGAGCCCAGGGAGCAGGGGCTCCTCAGGCCGGGTCCCTGATCTCTCTCACTTTTAGCGCTGCCCCTGGGAGCTCCTCCCCTGCCCCTGCAGGTTCGCAGCTGTGACCCTGCACTCCTGCTCAGCTCTGAGTGACAGCTACTTACCACTTCCTGTGCACCTGCAGCGTCCTCATAGCTACCCACTCTACGGATGAGAAAACTGAGGCCAGGAACAGGAAAGCAAGATCGGACTCCAGTCTCTCTTTTTTTTTTTTAGATTTATTTTATTTTTATTGGAAAGTCAGATATACAGAGGAGGAGACAGACACCTAGATTTTCCATCCATTGATTCACTCCCCAAGTGGCCGGGACAGCTGGAACTGCGCCAATCCAAAGCCAGGAACCCCAAAGCCTCTTCCAGGTCTCCCATTGCGAGTGCAAGGTCCCAAGGCTTTGGGCCATCCTCGACTGCTTTCCCAGGCCCCAAGCAGGGAGCTGGATGGGAAGCAGGGTCGATGGGATTAAAACTGGCACCCGTGTGGGATCCCAGCATGTGCAAGGCAAGGACTTTAGCCACTCACTAGGCTACCATGCTGGGCCCCTGACTCCAGTCTTAAGCACTGCTTCCATCATGCCAGGAAGAGCTATGTGCCTGTGGGGCATTTTGAAGCTAGAGGTAGAAACCTCCCTCCCACCTCCTGGAGAGAGAGAGAAAGATATGAAAATTGGGGGGAAGCCGACTGCTTTGCACTTTTGAAAACCATGTAATGATCTAGAATTACGTTGTCAGTTTGGAGCTTTCAGATGCATCATGCAAGGTACATTTTGAAATGTGAAAGTTTGGAGAACTCCAAGAGGAACAAAAGTTCATGGAAAATTGCCCCCTTCAGATTTTTCCATTTCTAATAATTTTGTGCCAGGATCCCAGTGACCAAGGCCTTTCAACTGGAATAACACCCAGAATCAACCAGAAATGCGGACTTTGTGGTTGTGCAGGGTCTCCCGCCATCTGCAGGCTCCGTGACCCAGGGACAAATGGCCTGACCTCTGTGAGTCTCCCGTTTCTGGTATGACATTGGGAAGCCACTCCTGTGCTGCAGATCTACTTGGGATGAAGGCAGCCAGGTGCCCAGGAGCCGGGCTCAGGAGAGCCGCTGGCTCCACCTGCACCCCTGCTCTGCTCAGCTCACCACTTGCGCACGCCCAAGCGGCTGCACACCACTCTCTTCTTGATGGTTAACTCCCCAGCCTCCTCCAAGGCCCCTGGCTTTGTTCCACCTGCTACAGAATCACATTTCTCCACCCATGTCTATGTGATCACTGGAAAAGGCTTTTCCCATGACACGCCTTTGGCTCCCTGTCACTGAACCATCACCTTAGAGGCAGTTAGCTGTAATCTGTCCCCGGGCTGGCCCATGTCTGACCCATCCCTGCATCCTCGTACCTGGCGTTTGCCACCTGGCAGGAACTCAGCTTCAACACAAGTTGGCATTCCCTCAAATGCACGTGCTCTGGTCCCAGCCCCTGCTGTGTGGACACGGTGGCACAGAATGGAGAGCAAGCTGCCAGCTCTGCTCCAGCCCTGCAACAGGTCAGTGAGCGGGCTTGTGACAGCCCTGTCGCCTCCTTCAGAAGTCTCCCCCGCTTCCTCCAAAGTCCCTTTTGTTGCAACTGCCCAGGGCTTCAGCAGCAGGAGTCCCCGGTGGCTGGGTGCCCCTGCTTTGCCAAAGCTCTCTCATGCTCACAAGGACCCTCTGGGTCACACTGGCTAGATGTGGGCACTGGCCACTGCTCCAGGCCTCGGGGAGCTGCGTCCTGCAGGCCTGAGACCCCTGGGGTTGTTGCCCTGAGCAGGGGGCTGTGCCTGCCCCACCAAGGGCATCCTTTCCCCAAATATACCCTAACCCCACCCTCCCAAGCCAGTTCGCCCAGAGTGACAGCCTCCCAGCTTTTGTTCCCCAGAAATGGCTGTCAGAGGGAAGAGAGGTATATTGTTTCTTTCTTTTTTTGTTTGAGACAAAGACGTCAATTCCTTTCCATGTGTCCCAAAAAGGGAAGAAATTAAATTTGTTTTTACAAGGATGTCAGCACACTGCTTCCTTGGGGAGTGAAGCAGTGTCTGGGAGGGGAGGAGGGAGGCAGAGGGGATGGGGCAAGGTGGAAGGGGGTCAGAGTGCTAGTGTAGACCATGAAACCGGGGAAGCAGAGATCAGAGAGGGATTGAATAGACGCTGACCCCACCAGGACCCCCATGCCTGGCTCTGGGTGGCTACTGTCCTCACTGTTTGAAGCAGGCAGCTGGGCTGGGGCAGGGAGGGGAGCTGGCAGGACAGGGCAGGGGGCCATGTTGGCTCTGCAGTTCTCGAAGTCCCCTCCCCCACTTCCATCACAGTCAGCCCTCTCTACTCCTTCCTGGGGTAGTTCCAGTTCCTTGGAGACACAGGGGCTGCAACCAGACCCAGGAAGGGGAGGAAGAGGAGGAAGAGAGCTGCCTCAGTTTCTCATCAGGGTCCCCAAACTAGGCAGCCTGGGACACTGGCAATTCTGACATGTCTTTCCCTTCCTGGGTGCCATTGCCCACCCATGGGGCTCTCCCCAGGTGGTCCTGTGTTTTCCGGCATCTGGACCCGAGAAGCCAGGACTCTGGGGACCCTCAGGTAGCCACCAGCTGGCTGAAGAAGCTGCCCTCACAGTGGAAGCTAGCCATTCCGTCTCATCCCTCCCACCTACCAACACTTGGTGCAGAGGCCCCGGGTCTGGGTTCTTAGGGGACTGCCTTGATTTAGGTCCAGGTTAGAACTGGGATCTAAGGACCCTACCCCAACCACAAGCCTGTCCCACTGCCCTAGCCTGGAGGGACTGACCCTGTTCAGCCATCCTTGCTCCCTGCCTACAGGTGTGAGGTGGCCCTATCTGTTCAAAGGGACAGACACCTATCCAGGAGAGAAAGGGGTGATTCGTTCTCCCGTGTTCTCTTGGGCACATGGGCCTAGACCCAGCAGGCTCAGGCCCTGGCTGGAACTGGGGGCTGGGATTCCCCCCCCCCACCCGGCCCCAGGCAGTAAAGCTGAGGCCGTGTGTGTATGCACAGCCCAAATCCTGCCACCAAGACCTAAGCGCAGCCACCCTGACTGTTCTGACCTGTTCACCCCATCTCCCTACCAATGTTTTATCCAAATTTGTCAGGCCCAAGTTCACAGCTCCATCAAGCCACGTCGAGGCCACACCCCATGTCCCCAAAGCCCCGCTCCAGATTGGAGCTCAAGGCAGTCCAGCTCTGGAGGCTCAGCTCCAGTGGAGAGGTCCTTTTGGGGAGGGGGGTCCCGGCTCCAGAGTCCCGCCTTCACTCACCCCAAAGTCTCCATCAGCTCAGAGCCCCTCGCCCGCAACCCCTCCACCCCCACCCCCTCGCCTCCCGACACCTGCCGGGCCTCGGGGCAGTGGGCTCAGGCGGCGGCCCCCCCACCGGGGCCGTCGGACGGGGTGCAGGCTGAGACGCGCTCGCGGGCGGTAGCCTCGCGCGCGCGGCTGAAGGTGCCGGGCTCGGGGCGGCCGCAGGGTGCACGGCAGAGCTGGCGGAAGCAGCGCTTGAAGTTCTCGTCTAGGAAGGCATAGAGCACGGGGTTGAGGCTGCTGTTGGCGTAGCCGAGTGCAATGCACAGGTGCAGCGCGGCCACCACGAACGGGTCGCGCCGGTCGATGTCTACCAGCGTCCAGACGATGACGAAGATGTGGATGGGCGCCCAGCACACCACGAAGGCGCCCACCACCACCAGCACCATGCGTGTGATGCGCCGCAGCCCGCGGTCCTTCTCCTTGGAGCCCGAGAGCAGGCGCACGCTGCGCAGGCGCAGCAGCATGAGGCCATAGCACACCGTGATGATAAGAATGGGCAGGACGAAGGCAAAGAGAAACACGCAGATCTTGGTCACCGTGTCCCAGTACCAGCTGGGGCTGGGGAACTGCAGCATACACACCACTGCCCCGTCTGGGCCAGGAAACAAGGGAAAACGGAGAGGGGGTGAGGGGGTTGGGAACCCCAGTTCCTGCCGGCCCGCTCCCAGCTCTGGGTGAACCCCTGCTCATCCTTGATGCCCCAGCTGCCCTGACCCTCTTTTCTGTGTCCCCTCACCCTCCGCCCTCTAGGAGCCTCTAGGTCCAGAGGTGGCAGGGATGAAACAGTTTAGCCCCGCTCACCACCTGTCAGTTGTCTGGATAGCTCAAAGCACACACCCCGCCCCCTGCCACTAGCTCCAGGGTGTACACGGGCTAGGATGGACCCAGAGAGCAGGTGCTGAGGAAGGGGCATTGAGTCAGCTTAGGACACCTCCCAGCAGTGCCCCATTGGAATTCCAGCTTCTCCGCTTCCCAGTCCACTTCCTGCCAGTGCCTATCTGGAGAGGCAGCAGGGGCTGTCTCAAGCAATTGAGGCCTTGTTGCCCAGGTAGGAGACCAGGACTGAGTTCTGGGCTCCTGACCCAGCCCTGGCTGTTGTGGGCAAATGAGAAATGAAACAGCAGATAGGAGATCTCTCTCTCTCTCTCTCTCTCTCTCTCTCTCTCTCTCTGCCTGCCTTTCAAATAAAATGAAAAAGAAAAAAAAAATGCAGGTCTCAGGCCCTACTGTGTGGAATGTCCTTGGAGCTCCCGGAGGACAGCAGGTGTTACCATGCATGTTGGGAAGCCCCCTCCACCGGCCAGACTTGCCCAGGATGGGGTGAGGGGAGCTGACTACTGCCACGTGGGCGTTTAGCCTGCAGGAACACCTCGGGGAATGCTGGGGAAATCCAACCCAGGCCTGAAGATGGCGCAGATGGGGGCTCTCCCCAGATGTGAGCAGGTGGAGGATCCACTCATGAGGCTGGGGGTTACTAGAAGCTGCGGGGGACACCACAGATCAGCTAGCTCCACAGGGCGTCCTTCTGGCAGGACCCCAGGGGGATGGCCGAATCCAAGCCCTTCATTATTCCAATGGCAAAAGCAGACCCCAGAAGCAGGGGCACTTGTTTCCAGTCAGGCAGCAAGTGGCCACAGGAGGCACACGCGTGGGTGTGTGCGGGCTATGGAGGCCCATCTGCTCTAGCCCCAGCAAGGCTGCAGTTAATGACCTGTGAACAGAAGACTGGCAGAGAGCAATGGACCATGCTGTCAGCTCAAGGCTAGTGGCTTAAGGGGTGTTGACGGGCACCAGGGCTGCGCCCTCATGAGAGTCAAGGGCAACCAGGAAGCCTCCCCTAAGGGGTGCCCTCGCCTCCCACCCACAATACCCACCGCCTGCCAACCTGCATCCAAGGGGCCGGATCCAGAGTTCCAGGCCAATGTACATCAGCTACCTGGCTGGAAGACCCACAGAAGACCACTGGGCCCTTCTAATTCCCAATTTGTTAGCAATAGCTGGAGGCAGGGGTCCTGGCCCTGTCTCACAGGCTGAACCACTTGATGGCCTTGGCAATGAGCTTGATCTTGCTGAAGGTGTCTTGCACTAGTGACCTCACTTAACCTTCTCCACACCCTGCGACACAGTGTGGCTCAGGAGGTTGGTCAGTTATTCGAGCCATGGGCACCCTTACAGACCACACTTCCCACCTGACCTCATCAGCATGGGGCCACAGGAAGGGCAGGCCCGACTCTTCGGAAGGAGACATGGACCCTCCCCACCCTGCCCTCTGCATACTCCTTGGCTCTCCAGACGCCAGCAGTGGAAGATTCCGAAACCTTTACAGGAAGCCTGGAGCACTGGATGACCCTGCTCCTTCAATACTGGGCTGGGATGCCAGGGAAAAACAAAGTGCCCCAGGGCTGAGCCCTTGAGCGGGGAGCCTGTTGGGACAGCTGTTGTTCCGTAGACAGTGAGCATTCTCTCCATGCTTTTCTCTAGGCGTGACTTTGATCATCTGGGATGATGGTTTCCTTAACTTTTTGAAAGATGTATTTATTTATTTGAAAGCAAGAGTGACAGTGGGTGGATGGGAGGGAGGGAGATGGGAGAATCTTCCATCTGCTGTTTTACTCTTCAAACAGCCAAAACAATTAGGGCTGGGCCAGGCCAAAATCAGGAGCCAGGAGTTCCATCTGGGGCTGCCATAGGCTGGCAGGGGTCCAAAGGCTTGGGCCATCATCTGCCGCTTTCCTGAGTGCATTAACAGTGGGCTGGATCAGAAGTGGAGAGGTCAAACTGGTACCCTGATAGAGAATGCTGATGTCGCAAGCGGTGACTTAACCCACTGAACCACCACACCAGCTTCTGGGGCAACAGAAACCAGGCTGAAAGGGAGGTTGCCATGGAACTGCATATCTCATGCCCTCCATTGGTCAGTGTCATTAAATCTTCCTGGCCATACTTCCATCTCCACACATTTCTGACCACAAAGACCGGCCATTCCCAATCCCATTTCACAAATTCCCCATGGCTTCTCACCATTCATTCACCCGTCACAGTCCTCGGCCATTCACCTCTGGCTAATCCATCTGCATTCCTACTGGCTGACTTCCCACTCTGCCACTGATCAGCACCACGCTTTCAGCACTCCAATCTGGCCCCGCAGACCCCAGCAGGTGCATGGGCTGCCTCCTGTGCCACAGTTCCCCCCAACTTACCCCGAGGACGGGTCACAGCCATGACCATGATGGGCACGCCCACACCGGAGGCCAGCACCCAGATGCAGATGTTGATCAGCTTGGCCTTGGCAGGCGTGCGGAAGTCCAGGGCCTTGACGGGGTGACAGACAGCGATGTAGCGGTCCACGCTCATCATGGTGAGGGTGAAGATGCTGGTGAACATGTTGTAGTAGTCGATGGAGAGCACGGCCTTGCAGAGCAGCTCGCCGAAGGGCCACGTCTCCATCAGGTACTTGGCACTCTGGAAAGGCAGCGTGCTGGTGGCCAGCGCGTCGGCCAAGGCCAGGTTGAAGATGTAGATGTTAGTGGCTGTCTTCATCTTTGTGTACCTTAGAGGGAAGTGCATTGGTAATCGAGCTTATGTTAGAGATTTCCGCCTCACCTAAAATGTAAGGAAGTGAGGTGGAGCTCAAGGTCACGCAGGTCAAGAGCAGAGGGAACTCAAACAAGGGTTCAACCTCACTGCTTCCCGGTATAAAATTGGTATTGCTGGGTTTTTCTGGCTGTGGATGACTTTGGCAGAAGGTATTTTAGGGAAAAGTCTTGCCTTCTGAGAGGCACTAAGCAATCAAAACCGATACCCCTAACCCAGCTTCTTGCAATAGCTGTAAAAATGCAATGAGAGGATACAGCGTGTAGCATAGTAAGCACCCAGGGCCGGCTAACTGCACTTTTCCTCATACTTGAAGAACAAGTATGCTGCTGCCCTCTCCAGACCTCCCCATCTTCCTGAGCTGGATTCACATGTTGTAACCCACAGCAGTGTAGGGGAGCAGGTGACAGCATCACACACCCTTAGGAGAGGTACCCAGATACCTGCAGCCAACCACCTCCACACCTCTCTGCCTCCTACGTTGTCCCCCCAGCTACCCCCAATCTGGCCAGCTCTGCAATCTTACTACAGCGAAGCCTGGAGAAGATGATGTAGCCGGAAGTAGATGGCCCCTGGGACACTCCTCTGCCCAGAGCCAGTCTGCGTGAGCCAGGCACTCCTCCTTGCCTTTCCCAGCGGGGAGAGCCCCCTTCTCCCCAGAGGGGAGGGGCTTGCATTAAACTACTACGCCCTGAGAACTGATTCAGAATAACTGGAAGAGCCTTTAAGAGATGCAATTCCTGGAGACACCCCCGCACTTGACCTGCTAAATCTTGGCCTTTTGTGTTTAATTATTGATTTTCATTTGGCTTGAAAGGCAGAGAGGGACAGAGAAGTAGATGAGAGAGATCTTCTCTCCACTGGCTCACTCCCCCCCAACGCCCACCACAGCCAGCAATGGGCCAGGCTGGCTTGCCCATGGAAGCGGCAGGGAACTGTGCTGGGGCTGTCACCTGCTGTCTCCTGGGTTGCGTACTCACAGGGCAACCAGGGTTCACCACCAGTGGGGCTCTGGGATCCACCAAGCGGGGTCTTCCAGAGGCCTCTTACCCATCACATGGCACCGTCTGGAGCCTGGAATCTTCACCTTTCACAGGCACCTCCCCAAGGGATCCTTACACCGTTAACTTTGGGAATCTCGGTGTAGCCCAAAGCCCATATTGGGGGAGAGAAGAGAAAACAAAAGCCAGAGAGCTGGTTCAATCACTCCAGGTTACACAGCGACAGTGGCAGAGCTAAAGGGAGAACTGACACCTTCTGCCTGCCAGGGGCCTCTCTCAGCTCTGCTCTGGGTCCCTTGGGCACCTAGGACAATGGCAGGACAACGATGTCCCAGAGTGTAGAATGGCAGTGCAGAGGCATCCTTCAAGGCCAGGCCTTCATGACGTCATAGGCTTTTTTTGGTTTAAAATATGAATGTCTTCGTTATCCGCCAAGGCCTGCATTTGTTCCGGGGCGGGGCGGCGCAGAAGTTTCGCTCAGAGACAGCGGCCCCGTGGGCTAGGGAAGTGCCGGAGGTGTTAAGTGCAGCGGGTGGCGGTGCGGGGTGCAGGATCGCAGCTGTGTGGGAGGCGGGCCCAGCCCCGCAGCTGCCTCGGCTAATTTCTCCGCTCTTACGCAGAACAATCAGAAGCTGTTCTTCGGCTGCTATTTTGATGTGTGAAGACTCCTCCTATCCCCCCGCCCGGTTAGAGAGGCTGGGCTGCCGGGAAGCCGGTGACGAGGCTGCTGTGGCTGGATCAGGCGGGACCCAGGAAGCCCCCTCCTCAGCTTCCCACCTTCACAGCCAAGCCCTGTCCCAAGGGTCTCCTCCCTTCCCTAGGAGCGCTCAGCCCCGCCCTGTGCTCCCCAAGCTGGCTCTGGCGCTTCTGGAGTTTCAGCTCCCAGCTGGTGAGCGCCACCCCCTCCCTCACTCCCACTCTCACCCTGCTACCCCTAGCTTGCCCTCCACAACCCCACGCCCCACCACCCCGCACTGGCCTTCTTGCTGTTACTTGGCCAGATCAAGCCCACTCCCACCGCAGGGCCTCTGTACCTGTTGTCCTTTCTGCCTGAAAACTCCTTACTCCCTCTCTCACCTCCTCAGAGAAAGACCATCTCTCCCTGTCATCTCAGCGCAAAGCCTGGAGGCTTCATTTCTCCTCCTGACCTGCCCTCCGCTTCTCCCTATCCCTTGGCCCTGACCTGCAGAAGCTTCCTGAAACTAAAGAAAGATCCCATCATCTGTTCTCTGCTGCATCACCAGGCAATGGTGCAGACAGCACATGCATGTCGCATGCATGTCATCCCCAAGGCACCTTGGTTGTCCCTGGGACCACTGCAGCAGCCTCCTGCCAGTTCCCGGCTCCCCGCAACACCCTGGTAAGTTAGGGCCCGTGGGCCAAAGGCAGCCTTGCTCAAGGAAGCTGCTTCCTGTTGCCATGGGGCTGGATTCTATGCGGTGCCTCCCACACCAGGAAGGCCCAGGTCTGGAAACACCTGTAGCACCCCAAACATTCTGTCCAGTGTCTCCTACCTCCACCCCAAGAGACAACCACTGGGGAAGAAGGGTTGGAGTCTTCCAAGCCACATCTACCGGCATTGCTTCTTACAAAATGTTGCTTCTGCCAATACAACATAGTAGCAGAGTGCAAAACCATGTAGCATTTTTTTTTGTTAATTTATTTGAAAGGCAGGGGAAAAGAGCAAGAGAGAGACCTTCTATCCACTGATGAACTCCCCAAACTGTTACAATGGCTGGAGATGGTAGAAGCCAAAACCAGGGGTCAGGACCTCAAGTGTGGTTCTCCCACATGGGTGGCAGGGGCCCAAGTTCTTGGGCGGTCATCAGCTGCCTCCCAGGGAATGCATTAGGAAGTAAGACCGGAAACAGAGTAGCCAGGTACTATCACACAGGTATCTCCAGCAACAGCTTAACTTGCTGTATCTTAACATCCACCCCCATGCAGCGCCTTAGTGAAACCAGTTGCACCTCTGCCCACTCCTTCTCCTCTATCCTGCTCCTCAAAGGCAACCACTTTTATTTATTTAATATTTTATTGGCTTACCCCCCAAATGGTCACAATGGTTATGGCTAAGCCAGGACAAAGCCAAAAGCCCTGAGCTTCTTCCAGATCTCAAATGTGTGTAAGGTGCCTAGAAACTTGAGCCATCTTCTGCCGGTTAGCTAGGCCACTAGCAGGGAGCTGGATCAGAAGTGGAGCAGATGGGACTTGAACTAGCGCACATATGGAAAATCAGCACTGTAGGCGGTAGCTCTACCTGTGGTGCCACAATGTCATCCCTAGAGGCAACCATCTCTAATGTGTTTAGCTACTATTCATTAATTAGTTCCATAATTCTACCTAATGTTTAAGTGACTTTTCCTCATTTATCAGTTTTTTCAATATTTGCTGAAGTTAGCATTAAAGACATTTCTTTAAAATTTTTACTTATTTGAAAGAGAAAGAAAACCTCTACCTACTGGGCCACTTCTCCAATGCCTGTAACACTTGGGACTGGGCCAGGCTGGAGCCAAGAGCTGGGAATGCAATCCCTGTCTCCCACTGGGTGTAGGTGCTCGAGCCCTTGAGCCATCACTGTCACTGTCGCCATCACCTCCCAAGGTCAGCCTTGGCAGGAAGCTGGAGTCCAGAGCCAGAGCTGGGATTTGAACTGCAACACTCCAACATGGATGCAAAGGTATTGACCACTATGCTAAACAGTTACCTCTGAAGTTTGCAATAAGCCAAAGCAGCAACAGTAACAATCCCCAAGGCCTCAGTGGTTTAATATATTAAGGATTATTTATTCTCACGAAGTCCTTTGTCTCCAGGAAAACCAGGTCCCATGAAGCGATTCCAGGTTGCTCCACTTCCATTCTGCCATCTCAGCCGGAGGCCTTCTTGGTCACTCAGTCCCCAAATTCTACAACATCTAGGGCTGGTCCGGAGTGAAGCCAGAATCCCAGAATCACAGATAGGTCTCCGTCATGGATACAGGGGCCCAAGAACTTGGGTCATCGTCCACTGCTTTCCCAGGTACATTAGCAGGGAACTGAACGGGAAGTGGGGCAGCTGGGACTTGAATCGGCACTTCAGTATGGCAGGCTAATGTTGTAAATGATAGTTTAACCTACCTGCAGCACAACAGCAACCCTGAACTTTATTCCTTAAAATTCTTGTTTTCAATAAAATATATTTTTTTATTGGAAAGTAAGATTTACAGAGAAAATGATCTTCCATCTGCTGGTTCACTCTTCAAGTGACTGCAATGGTCGGAACTAAGCCAATCTGAGGCCAGGAGCCAGGAGCTTCTTCCAGGTCTCCCATGCAGGTACATGGTCCTAAGGCTTTGGGCCGTCCTCCACTGTCCTCCCAGAACACAAGCAAGGAGCTGGATGGGAAGTGGAGCAGCTGGGACACAAACCAATGCCTATATGGGATCCTGATGCATGCAAGGTGAGGACTTTAGCCACTAGGCTACTACATTAGGCCTTATTTCTTAAAATTCTTTACATTTTTTATTTGAAAGGCAGAGTGACAGAAGGAAAAAAAGAAGGAGAGACCACAGATCTTTCATCTATTGGTTCACTTCCTGGTTGCCTGCAATAACTGGGACTGGGCCAGGCTGATGCCAACCACCAGGAGCTCCATCTGGGTCCCCTGTATGAATGGCAGAAACCCAAGGACAACCAGGCACCAAGAAATAGTCTTGCGCTCACATGTGCCCAGAGGCAGAGAGAACCTGCTGCTTGTGACCACCAGCAATGTCCCTCAAGTCTTCCTCCCCTCAGGCTGCCCAGCCCAGCTGCACACCGCTCCTCCTCCTGAATCAGAGCACCTGCTTCCCAACTGCACATCATCCTCCATCTTGATTTACATCCTCACATTGAGCAGGAATGGACATCTCTGGTCACTTCCTGAAAGGGCATAGGAAAGGTGCCATGTGTTCCACCCTCGCTTGCCTGAAAACATC